AGGCATGAAAAAAGACAAGAGATCAGTTTGCCGGGCGTTTTTGCCAAGCATTAAAAAAACTTCCTCCAACTGTCTCAAACACCGCACGATTTCTGTCATCACTGCCGCCGCACTCCACCATGTTGCGAAGAAGGCGAAGCTTGTTTCACGTTTCTCCAGTCATGGGTGTCTCTTGGGGTTCCTCATCCCACGGCTCTTCGTCTTCGCCCTGGCCACACACAAGGTCCACGATCTCCGCATCCGTCACGGGAGCGACAACGAAGATTTCCGCATCCACAAGCGCAAATGAGTCGAAGCCGTCTTCGGGAGTTGCACTGACGATCTTGTGCACGGATCTCGGCGTCATCCGCAGGCACATCAAGCACACGTGCACGGGAAATGCCTTTGGCAGCGTCGATGCCGGGATGTTGAATTCTTTCGCAATTTCCAATTTCTTCAGCCGACCACCTTTCTCCAGTTCTCGGATCAGCTTGACCATCTGTTCCAGGGTCAAACACTTCCATGTAGGCTTTGAGGGTGCCATCAGCAGTGAAGCAGGTTACACGCAGCTACCGTTATTGTACACACGGCAGACGGGCTGTGCTGCCTTCGCAATACAGAATACGATAACGAAGGTGCTACCTCGACGCACACACGATCCGTAAATGCAGCGCCCACTCATGCTGGAAAACACGTGCATCGCGACCAAGTCAACCGCAGTACAGCCAAAGCTACAGGGGAGAGGCCCCCACTCTCGTTCCTCCTTTCACTCTTCTTGAACAGGTTGGCATGCGCTCTCTCCCCTGTAGCTTTGGCTGTACTAAACGGATTAAATTAAAAAAACTTTTTTCTTTTAGTAGTTTGGGATGGCATTTTTAAAGAGGCGGGTGCCGGCAGGGGATGCGCTTGCGTGGCTTGATTCTGACGAGCGCCGGGCCGTGGACACCACGGGCACCATGTGAAGTGTCGGAACTGTCACTCAACACGCTGCCGACGCTGTACCGCTGTACGCTGTTGCATTCCTCTGCGCGCATATGAGCTCACGAGGGTCGATCTCCCGCCTCCTCTGCTTCTTTGACTCGTCAAGTCGGAATCGCGTAGATGGGCGCCGGGCAACAGGCAGGTGCGTCGGGGCTCGGTGGGTGTGACAGTCAAGAAGGTTATAAGTTCTAGGAGGGGGCACGTTGCAATATTGGTGAAGCCTAGTCATAAAAAGTTAGGAGCCTGGCACGTCGCGAAAAAAAGTGGCCGCCGAAAGTAGGAAAGGAGGGGCGGGGAATCGGGAGCGGAGGGAAGCTTGCCTGCTAGCGCCACGCAAGAGCGAGCGGTCAAACGCAGAAAGTCTTTTTTTTCTTCCCTCTTTTTTTTTTTTTTTTTTATTTTTTTATTGCGGAGAAGAGAAACTTACCGTGAACCCTTTCCCTTCGCCGTCTCTGCGTCCGCATGTCCACATCTCCGCAACGGTCGCGGTCGTCGCTTTTGTTTGCGCTGGAGGTTGTGCGACGAACTGCCCGAAAAGGTCGGTATCTGGTGCTTGGAGTGTTCGGCGATTCATGGGCCATAAACTTTGTTTCACCTTAGGTTTGAACAATCTCAAAGATATACTTCGTGTGATCTTATGTGCGAGCAAAGGCAGTGCTAGGCGTGCGGTACGTAAACATTGTAGTCGTAGAACGAATCCCGCACCTCATGCACAATCGCTTCTCAACCTCGCACGACGCAGCCACAACGGCCCATGCCACCCACTCCCAATGGTGGTCAAAGAAGCTCTTCTCATGTCTCCAGGTAGTGTAAATTCGTGGCCCTTTGCCACCGATCACATATTTCTCCGACGTATGTGCACTGCCCGTCTCTTGCCTGAAAGTGTTCCTCTTCGCGACACGCGGACGCACCTTTGTTTCTTGTCGCAGTTCTCGTTGGAACATGCCGAACTTTCATCCTGTAGCGCTGTTACTAGTATCCCCGGCACCTGGGCGTCAAAACTACTTAGTCAAAACTGTTTGGTTCTTCTGCTGTACGACACGATGGTCCGACGACGGCGCGCTCCGCTGACACACCGACAACACTGCCGACGCCACCGGCATGGTGCATTGTTGCCAGCTTCCTTTCGAATCTCTGCAGGCATTGCTCCCGGAGTACGAAACCGATGGTGACGAAAACACGAAAAGCATCGTGGTTCGGGGAGCGGCCGCTCATGACCCGAGCGCTCGCAGACTATCTCTGCCCTTTCTGCTCTGCGCTGCCATATTGGTCACCGTTCCGCGCGCTTCTCCTCTCCCTTTTCCTGCGGCCGCATGCCCTATGGCTCCGTCGTCGATGTGCCAGGCTTTCTCAGTATAGAGGAGGCTATGGTTGTGGCCAACGTGACCGTAGATCTCTGGCAATTGGTGCGCGTGACATGTCACGTGTGAGATGGATGGTTGATTGTAGAAGGATTCCTTGCAGGCTTTTGCACGCTCTGTCTGGCAGGCTCTATCAGAGCGAAGGCTAGATGAAGGCTAGCTATGGTCACGTGATGCAGTCACGTTGGCCTGATAAGTGAGGAGGGTAAGGAGGAAAATGAGAAAGAGGCGAGGCGTCAAGGGAGCATGGCTGGTGGAGGTTACACGGCTGACATCATGCCCTCTCCTACCCTTCTATCCTCCTTGGCGACAGTCACTCCGCGTGCGAGGCGCATGCTCTGCGCTCCTCGCGCATTTATAGCGGCAAAAGACAATATACCTTTTGCAGCTATTCGTGCGCACCTGTTCGAAGGGTTGTGCTGGATTACATGCTGTACTTACGCCGGATCGTCTTTCATAATAAGCATGTCTGCCTGTCGATACACTTCGAATAATCCAGTTAAAAATGCATGTGTTGCAATCGGGACTGCGTTAAACTTGAAAAAATGTGATTATTCATAAAAAGTGATTTCATTATAACGAAGGATTACTGTACTTGTTGATGTACGTGTCCAGGCAATCTTAGCACATTGTGCCTTAGTTTCGAGTGTCGATCAGCGGCCTCAAGTCTGCTTTTAGCTGAACTCTTGTCTCGTGCAATATATCAGTGAAATGTGTGTCGAAGACACGAGTGATGTTACCGGCTAGGTGACGAGCTAAGTCAGAAGGTGGTGTCATCTTCGCATGCAAATATTTCTTGTTCTTCAACAGAATGTCTTTCGAGGTGTTCCATGTTTCTGATTGCAGTTGGGACTTGGCAAGCATGATGACAGACCTGACTGGCTGCCCACCCGGCTATATAGGGCTGGGCGTTTAGTTGTGCATCTGGTCTATCGTTCGTGAAGTTCTCCGCAATCTCTGTGGAGTTGTCATAATCGTATTTTGAGGCGTCAGTGGCAATTTTGGAGCCAGACTTGGATAGCTCTTCCAGTTTAATATGAATGCTGCAGTAACTTAAAATTACTCATGTATGTTCGGTCCTCGAAAAACGAAAGGATTTTCCACCACATCGCAGAAACTTGTTTTTGCAGTGGCAGGCAGCCCATGGCATGCCATCTCCAAATATGAGCTGGCGTATGCCCGAAGGCAGCCGGTTGATCAACAAACGATGATCCATGGCAGATGTGCCGGCGTACACAAATAAAATCCAAATAGAAATGTATAACGAGCTTACACTTTTTAATATATTTAATAAATATCAAAAAGCACATATGAAGATTTCGGATTAGAAACTCAATCAAAGGCAAAAATAGGAGGTTATCACAGACGACAGTGGAAGAAAACAGCAAAAACAACAACAAAGTTTTAGACGTCCCTCAAAACGTCTGGGCATAGCGTAGCAGACGAACCAGCGGTAGTAAGATTTGAAGCGAAGGAAAGAAAGTAAAAACTAAGCCAAACAAGGCAAAGCAAAATATGCAATAATTCAAATGTCAAAAAAAAAAAAAAAATGTGGTGGTGTATATTGTTGTCTTAAACATAAAAAGTAGACTTTGAAAAATGGATGGAGTTGCAAGACAATCCAACGGGCGCCGGCCTTTATCGTAGAAGACGCAGAAGATGTAAGTCGTCCCGGCACTAACGATCAGAATTTGTGCACCGTATGTAACATGACCGAAATCACATTTATTTGCACTACGACGCTCTCCTCTTTTTTCTTTTGGATGTAGGAGAAGTCTGCTTTTTTTGTAACTCTACTTTTATTAATTTTAGTAATAGCGCCAGATATGCATGTCCACAATCGACTTCTTGAAGAGCATACTGACATTGCAGTAACGTACCTGGTTCAAAATTGCCTTTTGCTTCTTTATTTGGAGACAATCTTAACGGGCTAGCCAGTTCACCTTTTCGACAAAACGGTTATAACCAAGACATTCATGAGAAAAGTGAATTGCAACAACAAAACAAATTGATTGATAAGAACAGTAAGGCTGAAGCATATAACTATGTTCTGCAATTTTTGTATATTTGGCCCTTTTTTTTAAAAAAAGAAAGGCCAAAGTGCATTTTTGTGTTTTGCTTGCTTATATAAACTGCAACAGAGAGTTTTCTTCAGGAGAGCCCCTAAATTGCACTCTGAAAGCTTTAACATCTTTCCTACATGAAGAAAATGTCCTTCAATCATGAGGTGGCACCTATTTTAGGTTAAGAAACCGATTTTTGCGGTCGATTTAAAGAGCCTGGCCGCTAGTTAGCATTCAAAGCAGCGAATACCCATGACAATTTTTTTTCATTGGTCACCTTGCCAAGATGGGCAAAACCAATGCGTTGTGAGGAATTTGTCTGCTAGCCGAGAGTTCGAGCTTGTCAGGGGCACTGCGATCACTTTTCACCCACGCTCCACATGAGTTGCCTGTATTGGCTTACATGGTATTTGACGACGACAACTACAACATCAACGACAGACGTCGTTTCCAGTGGAAGGTAGAGCCCATAGCTGCTATTGCGGTAAAGGCTTGCCTTCTTAGCTTTTATAGCATGGGCAGGGTTCCGTTTGTGTACAGGTCAATCACGGCTACGGTACTGCAGGCTCAATCTGACGCAACGACGGATCACGGTAAGACAAAATAGCACACCTACCGGTCGACGCTGATGTGATTGTTCATGAGACTCGTCTGCCAAATCGTAGTTATGTCTTCCAACTCCTGTTTCGTTGGGTTTCCTGGAATGCAGAGAAGTTGAAGAGTTACAATTAGGATTCAACATTCTTGGGCTTTATTGTTCTTTGAACTTAAGAAGTTTTTACGGGGTTTATTATTTCTTTCTTCTCCGCAGAATTTTTTTTTGGCTGTCCAAAAACAATTTGGGTTCATCGAGACTTATGTTAAAAAAATAGGACACCGGCAACCTTGAGGGAACATATATGTGACTTGAATACTTGGAAAACGTTTCAGTACTGAAGATTCAACATTCTTCGGCTTTAGTGTTCTTTGAACTCGGCAAATTGTACAGGATTTATAATTTCTTTCTTTTCCGCAGATTTTGTTTTTTGGGGTTGTCCAAAAAACCTGCGTTCGCCGAGATTTATGTTAAAAAAAATTAGGACACTGGCAACCGTCGGGGAACATATATGTAATTTGAATTCTTGGAGAACTTTTCAGAACTGAGGATTCAACATTCTTTGGCTTTAGTGTTCTTTGAACTAGGGAAGTTCCTAAGGGGGTTTATTATTTCTTTCTTTTCCGCAGATTTGGTTTTTTGGGGTTGTCCAAAAACCCTGGGTTCGGCGAGACTTATGCTAAAAAAATAGGACACCGGCAACCTTGAGGGAACATATATATATGTGACTTGAAGTACTGATAAGAAAGGCAAACAAGATAAGGGGTGCGATTCTCAAAGATAGAAGCAGCCTTGCGGACAGTTAAGAATGGGCCGGGCCGGACAGTTAAGAATGGGCCGAACCCGAGTCAACACACAATAAAACTCTACAGCAGGGGTTCTCAAACTTTTCCTTCCCAGGGAACCACAGCAAGCCTCAAAAAGGCATAAAGAACACCCCCCCCCCCCCCTTCTTTTGTTGTAAACCGATAATACTGGGCAACAAAGGTGTTTAGATGGTGAAGAAGAGTTTCTTGCACTGACAGAATAAGACAAAATGGAGGACTGCAGACAGAATAAGAAGGCAGAGGGGTTCCTGTGTTTGCGTGATTCTAATGCACAGTTTATATTTGCAGTTAAAAAAAAACATGTAAATTTTAGGGGGGAACATTTTCTTCTCATTAACCTTGGACCTCATTCGAGAACAGCTCAAATTAAAAATTTTAGAATTTTCGCAAATTCTGGAGAAAAAAATTACCGGAAGATTGATTGGTGGATTTTTCGGGAATGCAATAGCATGACCTTTGGAAACGCCACACACGTCCTCCGTTAAGAAATGCTAACGCTGACCACTTCACTTTTTTTTTTAGCATTCTTTTCTAGTTTTTTTATTTTTTGCTGCCTCTTTTTCACCTCGTTACAGGGTCAGTGTTAGCATTTCCCAAAGGGGGACGTGTGTGGCGTTTTCCAAGGGTCATGCTAACGAATTCCCCAACAATCCACCAATCGATCTTCCTGTAATTCTTGTCACTCCTTTTTTGTACTCTGCCTGTCAGAGTATGTCGATGCGCTTGGATACGGGTATTCATATCACTCGTAGTAAGAACCGCATCCATATCATTCGTAGAGTGAACCGCATTAGTTGTTTTAACTACAACGCACACCACAGCCCACGCACCGCTACTACAGAAACCCAGATCAAAGAACAACCGGCAACAAAAGAGCGGCAACCAGGGCACGCCCGCATTCCATTGCGCCACGCCGCAACACCTCCTAGATAACAAAGCCGTAGTGCTAAATGAGATGGCGTCATCAGAGAAGGCTAACGCTGGGCAGATTGGACATGACGATTGCGTCAATGTTCGACTCGAACTTGGCGTGAAGCTGAGCGCTGATGCAGCACTTGTTTCCGATCTGTGTCTAGCGTTGGCCTTCGCTGATTAAGCCCTTTGTTACCTAGGAGGCATTGCTCGGTGCCACCTCCTCTCTTGCTTCACACCAGCTCTGCGCGTGACTTCGTCGAAAACGAAACGGCTCGTTTTGACAAAACCCGGCGGCGTCTGTCAGTTCGTCAGTGCCGGGGAGAAAGGGGGAGGTTGACGCATGCTCACGTCAGCGCTTTGGACCAATGGGAGCGTCGCGCACGTCAACTGACGAACGAAGGACACTGCGGGGTTTTTGTTAAAAGAAGTGTCCTTATGCTAACACATAAAAAAAAGAAAAAGGTCTCGAAGGGTTATTGGTATTTACTGAAAACATGAAATCCTAGTTATGATTGTGAGTGTATTGAATTGGCAAACATTCAACTGTGCCATCACAATGGAAGTAAAATGGAATGGGTCATTCTCCCGAAAATTAAACATTAATGTGATTGACAAGTAACCTTCAAATGTCTTCCTCCCATCATTCTTAAAATATAGTTTGTATAGCATAGCATCAAGGTGTTCTAAAAACAAATATTTGCAAGTTCTTATATTAAGAAAATTTTATTATTTTAGAAAAAAAATGAGTTTAGATTGGGTTCTATGAGTAATTTCCGCATTTGTTTTGTATCTGCTAACTACCACACAAGTTTCAAAGATGTGAGCTTTTGTGTTAGCAAAGTAAGCTTTTATGAGTTGAATTTAAAAAACTGTACAACTACATTAGCTCAAATTTATATAATCTTAACGTCCAATGTTGCTAAAGTATTTTTATTTTTACGAATTTTAAGAAGAAACAAATGTGACTGACCTGAGTGTCACTGGTATAATAAAAGATATAAAATTTATTTAAAAGCTTTTGCCAACCTTATTTAATTTGCAAGCATGGTGACTGTTTAAAATGTTTTCAGAGAAGTCTTACAGCAAGAGCCAATCAGCCTGGGCCAAACCCTGAAACTTTATTACCTTATAGAGACAGAAATAAATGCATACCTTTTTGATGTGTCAGTGGTGTAACGGAGCTTTTACGTGCTATTCTTCATAACATCTCAATGAGAAATAACTTGCAGTGACAAAACAGACATACATTCATGTGGTATTTAAAACATTAAATTCAAATTGCAAGATTTTACTATACAAACTATATTTTCCCGAATTGTCAAATGTGTAACGAACAGTGTCATATAACAGTCATTCATAAAACGGCCGTATAACGGTCAGCCGCATAACAATCAGTTGAGCCGCGAGTAAATCGCAGCACAGGTCAGTCACATCAACTAAAAAAAAAAATGTAAATCTCCCATTGGTATCTAGTGTACAATCATGCTACTTTATAGCCATTAGATTTTTTTATGACAGGCACAAAATGCGAGGTCCAATACCCTCTATACCGCCTGCATCCACATCGAAAAAAAAGAACAGAAAATAATACTTTGGTATGCGGAAAAAGATTTTACTGTATACTTTTTGCATGATAAATTTGTTTTTCAGTTTGTGTAAAAATACTGAACTGCTCATCAAAAAGTGAACATGCTCAAAGATAAAGAATATTGTCCTTTAAAACAAGTTTAATTACTTTTCGAACAGACCAGGTGGCACATTTCAAGGAGCTTTCACAAAAGAAGCGGCCCTCACAATAATATTTTCTAATCTAGGTACAAAACTTGAGTCTATACATTTGATGTATGTTATCGCAAATGTTAATATTGCAAAATTAAAACAAAATACATTCTAATAAGCACAAAAAAATAAAGCCGTAAAAGAGCTATTGCTAATTTTATCTTGAGTATGTTGTACAATATTTGTTGTTAACAATATAAATAAACATCTGGGTGCTCGGCTGTGTTTTCTATAAAAATAAGAAATGAATTACCTATTGATGAGCATAAGATAGCGAACTAAAGTAAATGTTGCCAAATTAACTTTTAATGAACCTAGATGCTTAATCTTAGAGAGAATGACCCAGATGTAATACACCCCTCTTAAAAGTCTGCCCTTTATTGGAAACTCTAGACATTTTGCACAATGCACAAAAAAAAGTAAAATGTTTGAGCCAAAAAATACTGCAAATTCTGCTTCATTGCCACTATACAGTATAGATTAGTGGTGTACGCAGGATTTCATTTCGGAGGGGGCCGGATCAACGGGGGTCAAGATAAGGCGGGTAAATGGAGTAAAGGGGGTAAAGGGGGTAAAGAGGGACAAGATAAAAAGAGAAAAGAAAGTCCAAGAGGAAATAAAAGCATTTTCCTTTTTTTTTAAGAACTATGCATTCAGTGATGTGATTGGCCTAAGCCATTTTGGAGCACCTTTTGGAGCAGCCAAAACAATGTTTTGGAGCAGCAAAAGTGGCCTTTGGAGCAGCCGGAACAGTGTTTTGGAGCAGCAAAAGTGGCTTTTGGAGCAGCCGGAACAGTGTTTCGGAGCAGAAAAAGTGGCTTTTGGAGCAGATATTCTTAGAAAAACAAAAATATTTTTTAAGGGCTGTACAAACGAATGTACCTTGTGTTGTGTTCTGTTCTGATGTGACGTGTTGTGACGGAACTCGTTGCCAGTGTTTTTACTGCTGAGACATCCCAGAAGTGTACAGTGCTGTAGGCGTTGCCCGAGCGATTCCGTAAAGAACGCTTGCCACCGTTTTGCTGGTTCCCGACGTCAAAGTAAGCAAACGCAAAACAATGAATTGCAAGCATCCCGGCTGGTGCCTTTGTCATGCAGTCAGGTTCACGTGCACGTGAGGGCAACTTCAGCAGGCTTGCAGTGGCATGTGCTTCGTTGCGCGAGCGGAGACAACGGCTGTTCAATCGAAACCGAAACAATGCCACTCCCCTCCGTCTCCAACTGGTTCCCAAAATAGTGTGCAAAATGTAACTGTTCAGCATACAAAAAAAAAGAAAATGCAGTCAAGCGGCCTGTGCTTGCCAGGCCGGCAGGCGATATGCAAGCTAAACAGACAGAAAACAAGAACCTGAGCGCATCGATGCATGACATCGCGAGCCAGGGTAAAAAAGCTCTTGGAGCGCTTTGTGCAACGACCAAACTCGAGACAAACAAGCGCAATGTGCGGGTTCAATGTGAACACATTGCTTTCTTTGCTTTAGCTCACTTCTCTTCACCAACTTTCTTTTGCGGCACATTTTTCACATACCGGGCTCCCCCTCAGAGAAAGTCCACCGAGAGAAACTTAGGTAATCAATATTTC